GCTTTTCTCCTCGTCATCGTGGCAGTTTTACCAAGACGTGCTTTTTTCCGTTGAAAGCCTTGTTATTATTCCCTGATGTACACTGAAGAAGCCTACAATATTTCTAATATTTGCTCTTCAGTTTGGCTTTCGTTGACACTCGTTGTTCTTATAAAAAGGGAAAAATGTGCCGGCGTGGGTAGGCGTGGGCTCAAGTAAAAATTTGCATTGTTAAGGCAAATGGGAATATGCCTCGAAGCTGCAAAGATAGAGCACGCATGTTCTAATGGGAGGGCTGTCGGCCACGNTGCTCTTCAGTTTGGCTTTCGTTGACACTCGTTGTTCTTATAAAAAGGGAAAAATGTGCCGGCGTGGGTAGGTGTCTTTGGCAGGAATTCAGTGATCCCTGTTCTTCTGAACTAGTAGTTCCGAACTTTGAAGGGATGCAGACCAACTTCATAGAAAACCGAGAGAAACTAAGTAGGAATGAGTCACTGCGTTATGAGCCTATGAGTCAAACTGGAAACCGCGCTTCTCAAGTAAAAATTTGCATTGTTAAGGCAAATGGGAATATGCCTCGAAGCTGCAAAGATAGAGCACGCATGTTCTAATGGGAGGGCTGTCGGCCACGGGCGAAACTAGCACCGAAAAATTGTACTCCTATTCAGAAACTTTCTAGATAAAATGGGCTGAAACCAAAGTCGGCAATTCTTTACAAAGGCGATCCACATTGTGCACCGTTTACTAGCAGCTTTGTTCCTTTCAGAAATCGAGTGTTCACTTAGGGTTATACTTACATACGCTGTGTGGCTGTTAAGCTATCCATCGATTTATTGCTTTGTTTGGGAAGTTATTAAGATTTTTGGAAAGTGTTTTTCCAAATTTCCAAAAGCTTGTATTGGAAGCTTCTGAGAAGTTCAAACGCTTTTCCCTTGATATGTATCGCAGGTGTAAATTTATACTGTTTTCAGAGAAAAAACGTGAGCAACTTTCATTCCCATTTGTGATCTTAGGATCAGTTTGAAGATGGAGTGACAGATGTTGCATTTTCGGCCCTTCCACTTTTTTACTCTTATCGGGCTGAAGAGCTATCGGTGTATAGCATGATATGCCTAAAAAATAAGGTGATAATGCAGCAATTGATGGGTCCTACTGGTCGACCGGTCAGCATCGATTAGTACAACTTGATTTGGGGTGCTATCTATTTTTTTCAAACCGAAAGGGAGGAGTAATCACAGGTATGGCATTTCAACTTTGTATGAAGGAAATAAAGTCCGACGTCAGCCAACCCTACTGCTATGAGAACACTTTATGAGCTCTACAACTACTCAACAGTTTTGCAATGACAACAACTGTAGATTATTGATGATCGTGCTATTCCATGAGAAGTCGTAAAGAAGGAAACAATTTGCTTGTCGTTCCTCGAGCCAGTAAGGTTGACTCAAGGTACTTCAGTGTTTCGCGAAAGTAACGAAAGGAAAAGTGACTGATGTCAGCTTGATCGGGAAGATTATCAAGGGGACAGCAAATAGAACAGTTTGATCCAATGAAACTTTAGATAACCATGGGCGATCACGGTGGATAATCACTGGCCATGAGGGGTTCATTGGCTATCAAAAACGCATTGAGTGGCGTCACCACCGTAGTAAGCATGTAGGTAATGTAAAATCCACGACAAAGGGATCGTACAGTGATGTGGTAATTCAGCTCTCTTCAGTACCTAATGAAACAGGTGGAGAAACAATCGAAACCTGGTAGGGGATTTTCCGCATACCGGTCTTTTAAATGAATTGAGTATTGATCTTCAGTAGAGGCCTTTTTACTCTGACCTTACTTGTTTTCATTTTCTATGAATAGTCCAGGAATTTTGTAACGACCTCAGAAACCAACACTGGCTGGGCATAAGGGCTGCTACCATCCATTATTTGTTGATGCCTGCTGACCTATGCAGCAAGTATGATTAACGTGCCCTTCATCATTCAGAGTATGCATGTCATACCCCCGTGGCTATGCAGCACTTCTATATTTAGTCACCCACATATCGAATACGATAAGTTATTCAGGCCTAGTAAGAAGGTCATTGAGTTTCAGTCTAAATCGCCAACCATATTCATATTCTTTTATCTTTCAAAAATGCATGCTCAGTTTTCAACAAGTAGTATGTCCAAATCTGCTTACCCAAATCTGCTTACCACTTTACAGAAAACCATATTTGAAGAAAGTCTTATATCCACCGTTCAAGACGTTTCTATTAGCGGTCTTCCTATGATTGATACATCAAATAAAGCGTGGGCGCTGGATATTATAGTATAGATGAAACCGAAAAAAAAAA